ACAGAAAGAGGGAGAGATTAAAGGGAGGAGGAATAGAGAAGAAAAGGAGCAGGAAGATAGAGGGGCTTATAGAGAGAGTGAGAGAGAGAGCAAGAGAGGAGAGGGGTTAGAGAGAGAGAGTGAGAATGATAGAGAAAGAAAAGGGGAGCAGAGACAGATGGAGGGAGAGTGAGAGAGAGGAGATAGAAAGGGTTGTGGAGAGAGAGAGAGAGAGGGAGAGAAATAGTAAGAGAGGAGACAGAGGGGATTAGAGAGAGTGAGAGAGAGAGAAAGAAAAAGAGGGCAGAGAAAGATGGAGAGAGAGGAAGAGAGAGGAAACAGAAATGGTTGTGGGAGAGAGAGAGAGGGTTAGAGAGAGAGTGAGAGAGAGAAAGAAATGGGGAGAAGAGACAGATGGAGGAGAGAGTGAGAGAAGTGATAAAAAGGGTTGTGTAGAGAGAGAGGGAGAGAGAGAAGAGGAGAGAAGAGACAGATGGAGGGAGGGAGAGTGAGAGAGAGGAGATAGAGAGGTTTGTGGAGAGAGAGAAAGCGAAAGAAAAGAAAAGGGGAGCAGAGAAAGATGCAAGGAGAGTGAGAGAGAGGAAATAGAAAGGGTTGTGGAGAGAGAGAGAGAGAGGGAGAGAAATAGTAAGAGAGGAGACAGAGGGGATTAGAGAGAGTGAGAGAGAGAGAAAGAAGAGAGAAAGAAAAAGAGGGCAGAGAAAGATGGAGAGAGAGGAAGAGAGAGGAGATAGAAAGGGTTGCGGGGAGAGAGAGGGTTAGAGAGAGAAAGAAAAAGAGGGCAGAGAAAGATGGAGAGAGAGGAAGAGAGAGGAGATAGAAAGGGTTGCGGGGAGAGAGAGGAGACAGGGGTTAGAGAGAGAGAAAGAAATGGAGAGCAGAGAAAGATGGAGGGAGAGAGGAGACAGAAAGGGCTGTGGGGAGAGAGAGAGAGAGGGGAGAGAGGCAAAGGGGTTAGAGAGAGAAGAAAAGAGAGAAGACAGAGGGCGTTAGAGAGAGAGAGTGAGGGAAAGAAAAGGAGAGACAGTGAGAGAGAGGAGAGAGAAAAGGTTGTGGAGAGAGTAAGAGTGATAGAGAAAGAAAAGAGGAGCAGAGACAGATGGAGGGAGAGTGAGAGAAAACGACGAAAACAACTCAAACACGTACAAGTGTGGATCAGTCCTTAACTGTTCGGTCATTGCAGGTTTTCCACTTTCTTTGTTAAAAGATGTTAAAAACGCCAAAAGTCAATTTCAAAACCATAATTTTTCGACAATAGAATAAAATTTTCAACACAAATATTAGTTTTACTAGAGATGAAGGCCGTTCCAAGGTTATTCAGTACAAAATTTGACTTATCTTGTGTGATTTTCTTCAATTTACGTTAACAGAAATAAATCAAAATGAGTCTTGGGCTACGTTCAGACTGCAGGGTTTAATTAGATTTTTTGTGTGAAATCCGATGTTTTTACGAGGTCGTTCAAATTTCCAATTAAATGCGACTTGTATGTGACTCCAGTGTGAACATGAAATGGCCCGAAAAGTGTCCCACATGTGACACTGGAGACACGACAACGTCAACCGCAGCGAGCGTCTCTGTGTTTACGGAAGTTGTGCAAACATGGACGCGAGCATCGAGCACCTGGAGATTTTAAAGTTCCTCTCGTACCAGAGCCAGAACATGAACAACTTACTTGTTTTAAGGAGGAGGTTGAGAAGGAGAAGGACGAGGTTTTTGGCCGTGGTGTTTTGTTGGGCAGCGGCAGCGACGTCTGTTGAAAGGAACGTGTGGATGTGGAGACGGAGCCAAGAGTGTGAGTGGTGATGTGCTTCACTTCAGTGACAAGGAGTTCATTAATAATTTTCGTCTCCATCAGCGCAGAATAGTGACGTTTGTGGCTTGTTGATAACGTGTAGGTGGATGAATGCACTTTGGCCGTTCAGACTGAAGTCGCATGTTAAAAGATCAGATATGTATCGGTTTCAGGACCACATATCCAAGGCTGCGTTCAGACTGCAGCCTGAAGTGACCCAAATCCGATTTTTTGGCCCCTATGTTCCTGTATCTGATCTTTTAATGACAGTCTGAACGACACAGATCCGATTTTTTTCAAATGTGACCCAGGCCACTTGGATATGTGCTCCTGAAACCGATACATATCTGATCTTTTGACATGCGACTTCAGTCTGTCTGAACGGCCAAAGTGCATTCATCCACCTACACGTTATCAACAAGCCACAAACGTCACTATTCTGCGCTGAAGTAGGTGAAAATTGTTAATGAACTCTGTGTCACTGAAGTGAAGCACATCACCACTCACCACTCTTGGCTCCGTCTCCACATCCACACTCTGGTACGAGAGGAACTTTAAAATCTCCAGGTGCTCAATGCTCGCGTCCATGTTTGGACAACTTCTGTAAACACAGAGACGCTCACTGCGGTTGACGTCGTCGTGTCTCCAGTGCACATGCGGGACACTTTTGGGCCGTTTAATGTTCACACTGGAGTCACATACAAGTCGCATTTAATTGGAAATGTGAACGACCTCGCAAAAACATCGGATTTCACAAAAAAATCAGAATTGAGCGTTAAGTCCTGCAGTCTGAACGTAGCCAAAGTGTCCTGGCTCGGTTTTAGGAGCACATATCCAAGTGTCCTGGGTCGCATTTGAAAAAATCGGATCTGTGTCGTTCAGACTGTCATTAAAAGATCAGATACAGGTCACATAGGGGCCAAAAAATCGGATTTGGGTCACTTCAGGCTGCAGTCTGAACGCAGCCTTGGAGTAGTTTTTGACAACCTTATTACTTCTAACTTATCTCAAGTAATATATTTTTTGTGTACATTTGTTATTCTTGACTCTTCACCTCTGCTCTCCGGCTGCCGCCTGGAGCGAAACTACAGTCAATGGACACCTGACACTCCTCCCTCCCTCCCTCTCTCGCTCCACACCTCCTCCACCTCCACCTCCACCTCCGCCTCCGCCGCCGCTCTGTTGTTTTTATGCACGCGTATTAACCATTCACACGGGATCACTGGCACCACCGGCCCAGGTCACCGCGCACGCCATTTTAGTCCGGCAGTGAAGCGTGCATGCCAGGCGGGACAAGAAAGCAAGCCAGATGTATTCATTCACTTTCCATTGTACAAGGATCGGGTGTTAGCGCCGTGAATAGACAAGGGGAGCGCTTGATAATGAGCCCAGTGTTATTACGTAGCTGCCCCCTCGCCACATCAGTCCACCAGGATCAAATAAAGGCTTTAATTGCTTCGCTCTGTATTAAGATCTCCACAGTCGATGTGGTACGCTGCCCTTCACGTGCCTCAACATAAAAACCCAGGGGAAAAAAACGGTTTGAAAGGCCCTCGTGTAGCATCTGGGAGAAAAACAAAAACAAAACTGGTTTCCATTGAGGTCCTTGGACAATTATGTTTGTGCAGTGAAAGCCGGGTACCAGAATATATAATGATGAAATGTAATATTGATGAAAATATGAGCTAATTGTGGCCAAGCCTCTTTGTTAAAGCCTGATGTCAGAAGCGAAACAGGGCTGGGTCTGGTTAGTATTTTAATGGGGGACGGCTGGTAACCAGGCTGGCGCCACCTAGTGACTCCACTCAGTTTATTTTCTCTCCAGTGACTAGGTCAGGAATCAGAATACACTAGACGGTTTGCAAGAACCCCAGAAGTTGTAGATCACGCACCGGCCAATCAGTGAAGAGCTGTGAAGCCAAACTCAAGCATCTGTCTAAGTCCCTTTTGTGGTACAGCACAACAGTAAACAAAGCAGTCGAGATGGATGTAGAACAGGGGTGTCAAACTCATTTTGGTCCGGAGGCTGTATCCAACCTACTTCGATCCCAAAGGGGCCGGGAAAAAAAGCAATAATTTCAAATATTTGTACAGAGAAACGCAAATCTATAACAGAAATGTTGTTTTCTTTTACAAAATATTATAATATTATGAACAACTTGAAATTTTAAGAAAAATGCAATTTCAGCACAATGTTTTAACATTAACTTGTATACAAATAAGAATAAGTAAAATTTTCTTGGAAAATCCTGCACTCGGCTCCACTTTTCTCATTTTTGACATTTTTCTGATGAGGGTGTCACGGTCAACAGTCAAAACGATCGTCCTTTAAGAGCGTTTGGAAAGAGACAAGTCTTCATTTGTGCTGCTCTGGTGGGAGGGGCCACGTACAAAGGCTCTGGAGACGCTGCTGTGATAAACACCACAGAAAATTACCAATATTTTAATAGAAAATATAATTAAATTATTTTAGTAGAAAATCAGATGAGGGCCAGATTAAAGGTCCTGGAGGGCCGGATCTGGCTCCCCGGTCCGTATGTTTGACACCCCTGAAGTAGACGAAGACATACATTCTGTGTTGGCAACGATTCCTGAGATCAAGGATTTAAAACCAGAACAAAGAGAATGTTTGGTAAGTTTTATCAAGGGGAAAGATGTTATTGCCCTTCTTCCTACGGGATCTGAGAACAGCTTAATAAACCAGTTAGCGGCGCATTATATACATCACAACCAAAGAGCAGCGATTGGTTAAATTCGCAAATTCGCAAATTACAATTCTTTGCAGGCGTGGGCACGAGCAAATCTGAAAATTCTGTCCCGCTCAGACACTGTATCACCAGAATGTACAGAAAAAAGTATTACAGATCATTATTGTTTTTACTTTTAAACAAAGTATATCACTAACAGTTGTTTAAGACGACTCTTCTTTCTGCTCCTTTTCATTCATTTCTTATGTGTCTAACGTTGTGACACTGTTGTTGTCTTTTTATACTTTATTAACGAAATAAATCAAATAAATAAATAGGCTCTCTTGTGTCTGTGTGTCCCAGGGCAGCTGCGGCTACAGTAGTAACTTCCCACCTCTGAGCGTGGAGTGAATGAATAATGCACGACAACTGAAAAGCAAAAAGCACTATATAAGACTAATGTATTACTATGAATAATTGATTAAATGTGTTTTTTGTTTTTTGCTCTGTCTGTTCACAGGACCGAGTCGGTTGCAGAGAAAATGCTGACGAACTGGTTCACATTTCTGCTCTATAAGTTCCTAAAGGTAAAATATTTGTCTTATACCCATTCACATAACGTACGCTTCAGTGTTTTCTATAATGATTTCATTCCGAGCCCAAAAAAAATGTTCTCTTTTACATCGTAGTCCAATTATTCACAATAAAGAATCAGTTAGAAAAGGTGCCCCGTTTACATGAGAGCTTTAATTCCGATTAAAAATAATTCAAATTAATTCCTCTTTAAAAAGACAATGTAAACACTTAATTCCTGATGATTATTTGGAATTAAACGTATTCAGAATTAAACTTAAATCCAAATTAAGTGGGTGGTTTATTCCGTCTGTCCTCCGCGCTCTTAGTTCTTCTCCAGGGAAAGTGCTTCTCAGGCCGAGGAACCTAACACCGCTCCCCGGTCCAGCTCATCGGGGCTCGACCTGAACCGGAGCTGCTCCCGCTGGTTCAGAAGTCTGGGTTCGGACTGTTCCAACGAACATACAAACTGGGGAAAAACGGTACGCATCCCCACGCGTAACGACAAACCGAGATGACAAAAAAGCCGGTAGCAGCTGAAGTTTGTGTTTTCTTCCGGTCGACGTAAATATGTTCGTGTCCCTGTTCAATCAGAACCCTTCCCCACCGCCAGACGTTGAGCTGAATTAAATAAAACCGATTTAACGTGTTTTCCATGTAAACCTTAATTCGGAATTATTATTTCCATGTAAACTCGAAGAATAATTTACCATATTTTCCGAGCTATTAGGCGCTCTGGATTATAAGACGCACTGTCATTAAATGGTCTATTTTCCAACTTTTTTCACAAATAATCTGCACTGGACTTTAAATGAAACACAACAGTTGGATGGGTCAGTGGTTTTGTTTGTTTGTGGCGTTCACAGTGACTCTGGGCTTTGTTCAGTTGTGGCGTGTAGGGAGGGTGCTGTCTGGGACCAACGGATTGTCGGCGTGTTCGCAGTGACTCAGTTGTTCAGTCGTGTCTAGAAGCGGCACATTGCACTCGCTTTTTCGGTTCGTTCCTCCGTTTTGTTCCTCGTCGGCGTGGAGTGATGAGTGTGTCTGTGGGTGTGTTTCACTGTGCGGTCGCCGTCTGCTCCGTGTGTGTTTGCGTGCGCTGCGGCTTTGTAGTTTACTGAAGTCGTGCCAGGACACCCGAGTGGATTCGTGTATAGGACGCTCTGAATTGTGGGGCGCGTGGTCGTTTTTTGATGGGCTTGGAGGCTTAAGAGCGCGTCTAATAGCCCGGAAAATACGGCAATTCACAATTACATTTTAACAACTAACAATTAACATAATTAATTCGGAATAATTAAATCGGAATTAAAAAACATCATGTAAACGTGGCCAATGTAACTTTAGGTTTAGTCCATGTTTAGACCTCATTTAAACCTGATATCGTCCAGGTTTACACTCAACAGAAAGCCAGCGATTATCTTCTTTTGTACTTTGCTGCGAAAACTTTGAAGCTGCACTGGTACAGCTCAGATATTTTTGTGTTTCGGTGAATACGTTTGCCCTCCTCTCGTCCTTTTCTCTCTTCCTCTTCCTCACTGTCTGTCTGCTCGTACTGTGTGTGTGTACAGGAGTGTGCGGGCGAGCCACTGTTCTCCCTCTTCTGTGCCATCAAACAGCAGATGGAAAAAGGCCCCATTGACTCCATCACGGGAGAGGCCCGCTATTCTCTGAGCGAAGACAAGCTCATCAGGCAGCAGATAGACTACAAGACGCTGGTGAGAGGGGTTACCTGCCCGCGACTGCAGGGGCCAAGGGGGGCTCTTAAAACGGAGAGAGAGGGCGGTTCTGGGTTAGCAGTCGGAAAAGTGCTACAGTAAATACAGTTGTTATTGTCGTGCTTGACAAGAGGGGGCACTAGAGGGGTTGGCGGTGGGTTGTTTGAGACTGGAGCTGTCAGGAAAAAAAGAGTGTTCGGGTCATGCATGTGTATGTATGCATAGCAGAGTGGAGAAGTACGGCTCACAGCTTGCACCAGAAACATGTCAACAAGGTAAATACATATCTCCTGAGGAAAGTATTCAGGGTTTTTTTCAGTATGGTAAGGCAAGGCAAGGCATAATCTGTACACAAAGCAATTCAAAGTGCTTTACTGAATAAGAAATATGGAAAGATGACAATATTAACAAATCAAAACATAATCATCATAAAATTAAAAATGAGAGAGCGACATTAAATGAGAAAGAAGAGCGCAGTATGAAATTGATTTTAACAGGACTAGTGGCATAAATTTGAACATTTTATCCTGTATCTATTGCGGTTTTGACATCAACTGTTTCAATACATATTTACTTAGGTCAGGGGTGTCAAACTCAAATTCACAGAGGGCTAAAATTAAAAACTGGGACTAAGTCGTGGGCCAAACTAAATATTTATTTAAAAATTTCAACAACTTCTTTTGAGATATGTAATGTTAAACCTTTTCTTATTCAAATAAATGTTTAATAATAGTTTTGCTTAAATATTGACTCCAGAACAAGCATAATATAGAATAATAACAAAATTTTAAATAAATAATGTCTCTATAGTCGATCTGTAGCCGGTGGGCAGCTCTAATACATATTTGATATGATCTCCAAATATAATCATATCGCGGGCCAAATTTGGCCCCCGCGCCTGAGTTTGACATGTCTGACTTAGGTCATAAATGTCTATCTGGATAAAATGCAGTTTTAGATGATGGTTATAAATGCACTGAAATTGTAAAATGTAAGTCTATAAGTCATCAGTTTAATGTTGTAAGATTAAGGAACCCAGTTTTTACATGTGAATATGGTGTATGGTATATGTTTATGTATGTATATGTGTATGTTTACTGTACTATACTGCTGTAGATGCAACCTACTTCAGAAATATATCCAAAATATATCCAAATTCCCTTATATTGTTATTGAAAATCTAAATGACTATTTCAGAATTCAGATTTCTCTAACATTATGAATAACTATTGCTGGTTTTCAGACAACATCACAACATTCTATTGGCCAATAATATGTAATACAAATGTATATTTATTCATTTAGTTTTTTATTCATTTATTCTTTATTTCAGACACAAACATCATTCGGCCCATAGTTAAAAGCAAAATCTGGATACAAAAATATACAAACCACCCAAATTAGGCCATAACTGTAGAGTTTCTGTGCCCAGTTTGAGGGTTGGTCAAAGTCTTTATGATGGATTTTTCTCTCCAGACGTTGCATAAATGTGTAAAAATATGTGCTAAAAATAATAATAATATATAAATAAATATATAATGTGCTAAATAATGTGCGAAAATTCAGATTTTTGTTGTAATACAGTGAGTTCTTGGGTTTACTCACTCTTAAAGTCAGATCCAAAATTTGTGACTTTACCTTTTGGATATTTCGTGGCAAAGAACAACGTAAATCAGTAGGAGAACTTGCCTCTTGGCCCCCAATCTGGGAGTATTATCATTATTATATTATATTATCTTCACATTCTAGAAACTGAAAACTACCAATTAACTAAGATGATGAGCACATTTGTTTAGTTAAAAATAGTGAAGTGAATTCGTCAATTTCACTTAAAACCAATGATTGTCTAAGCTTTATGTATTAACTGGATTCTTCTTACGTTTTCATATTGCTGTAAAATTATCCAAACATCACAAACCAATATCAATTAAACAAGTACAAGATAAAACCGCACGTGTTTAGACTGAGCTCCCTCTCAGAGTGTTGTGCGTTTCCAGGTGGTGAACTGCATCCACCCGGAGAACGAGAAGAGCCCGGAGATCCAGGTGAAGGTCCTGAACTGTGACACCATCTCCCAGGTCAAAGAGAAGATCCTGGACGCCATCTACAAGAACGTGCCCTACTCACACAGACTGAAGGCCTCAGACATGGACCTAGGTAAGAGCAGGGTCCGGTATTCATAATAATATTTGTTTGAGAAGTTCTTTGTATTTTTATCTGGATGTGGTTCGTAGTTATCTCACTCCACAGCAAGAAAATCAAAGGTAGTCTGTTTGATGGGTTTCATTCTTCTTCTCCAAATATATATTTTAAGTTGCAGGAATAGTGTCTCAAATTTGACCTGGTTCAGTGTGGACATTATTATATAATATTGTTTACTTTTCGTATGACGCACACTGCAAAAACCAAACAGCACATCTTTATAAGAAAGGGTAAAATGGGAATAAGAAGTTGTTATTCTTTAGCGGAAAACAGCGATGTACAAGTTTGCAGCAGATTTCCCTTTACTCGTTGGTGATGAGATATTTGTGAGTTCATGTCCGTACATTTTTCCTTCAAATACTGTCAACAGAGTCTGGCTGCTAAAAGTGCATGAGTAGGGCTCCGTTTGGGAGGTGATAGTCGCTCTTTTTCCACGGCGACTCATTATAAGAGCAGTTTAATTGAAGATGAAGCCAAGTAAGTTCCTTTTGAAAAGTTTTTCAAAGATTGGTGCGCAGCGTCTTCACTCACGCCTGCTCAAGCCGACATCTTCAGGTGCTGGCCCTGTCCTGCCGCTTCCCCAGTTTAGGCTCCTGGCTCCACTAATGACATCATTCTGTTGCAGCCAATGAAATAGCGGGAGGAGTAACCCTGTCGTCGTATCACTGAACACATCTCAGAACGTCGAATAAACAAAATGTGAACTAAAACGTGTTAAATTAATACTACTGAGTTTGGGAAAATATCAGAATAAATTTATATTTTTATTTATTAAAATCAAATGGCAAATATTGGTAGGGACTGTTTTGTCTTCCCCAAATATTGGTCCACACCGTCCCTATGCAAACCTACGCCCTTGCCTGGTCTAGTCCACATTTAGTTCCGTCTTTAGACCTAGTTTTATCATAGTTAGTGAACAGAACCTTGATCGTTCATAGTCAAGTGAATGGATTCTTACCAGTCCTCTAAATATTATTATTATTTTCTTATTTTTGAACATGGAAAACTTTCACACTCATTCTTAAACCAGTGTATTGTGTTTTCCGGGCTATTAGACGCACTCTTAACTCTTTCCCCCATGAAGATGACATTTGACGACCCCCCCGAACCCTTAATGACGACTTTTGACACCTCCGCTGTATCACTAAAGACGAGATTTGACGACCTTTAGAAACGGCTCGGTTTTTCACATTTAAACAGAGACTGTGATCGGTCGGGGCCACTACAACCCACACTAGACTGACCAATAGGATTCAAGGATATGTTTTCGCCGATTTTTTCCAAAGTTAATCGAAATAGTGACGATGGTAGCTTCCGGAAAAAACACAAAACGAAACACATGCAAGGAAAAGAAAGATCGCGGCGCTGCGTCGCACAGTTTTAGAAATAATGAGGAGCGGACGTATTTTATGGATAAGTTTAGAGAAAGTGACTTTTATAGATTTCAAAGTGATGTTGAAGTTGATTATAAAGTGGAAAACAGCGACAGCGACGGACTTTCGGGGAGAAGGTGAGATGCCGCTGATGCGTCTGTGTGGAGTCCTGCGATGTCCCAACAAACTATCTGAGCTTTATACTCGATTATGAACCAAAATTGCCCTGAAATCTGGATGTTGCCCAGGCCAGTCCTTTAAAATATTTCAGTCTTTTTTTCCAAGATGCAATGTATAACAGAATCACTACAGAAAAAACACTTATGCGGAGCTCTGTGCACGAGAAAGTAACCAAGATGACAAATACTGGACTCACACTGACGACATCCATAAATGAATAGTTCAGAGTCTAAGGTTTCCAGAGATACCAAATATGTCTGTGTTACAATTAAGTTCATGAGTTTTCTTTTATGCAATTATGCTCTATGAGTAGCCCTAGTAACATATGTATTGGGTTGTTCCTAGTAGGCGTCCAGGGGGGAAAGAGTTAAGCTTCTAACCCCATCAAAAAACAACCGCGCCCCACAATCCAGAGTTCCCTATACACGAATTCACTCGGATGTCCCAGCACGACTTCAGGAAACTACAAAGCCGCACCGCCCGCAGCGCACGCAAACACACACAGAGCAGGCAGCGACCGAGCAGCGACAAACACCCGCAGCCACGCTCATCGCTCCACGCCGACGAGGAACGGAACGGAGGAACGAACCGAAAAAGCGAGCGCAATGTGCCGCTTCTAGACACGACTGAACAACTGAGTCACTGCGAACACGCCGACAATCCCCTCCCTACGTGCCACAATTGAACAAAGCCCAGAGTCACCGTGAAGGCGCCAAAGAAAGTCCCACTGACTCATCCAACTGTTGTGTTTCCTTTAAAGTCCGGTGCGGTTTATTTGTGAAAAACGTTTGTAAATAGACCATTTAATGACAGTGCGTCTTATAATCCAGAGCGTGTAATAGCCCGGAAAATACGGTGAAGTGTCTTGCCCAAGGACCTAAAAGAATTCTGATCTTGAGTTGGGATTGAATCACCATCCGTCAAATTAGTATGTGAACGTCCCACCGAGTCACTGTCGCCCTTTAGTGTCCAGTATATATTCCTGTTTTTGCTGACGGTATTGTTCCCCAAATTTAAAACAGCTGATATAAGCCAAACTTCCTGTTAGAGTTGAATGAATATTTTGCAGTGCCATTTGTTTTATACTTCCTGATGCCAAAACACTTGGAATTGAATCAAAAACTCGTGTTTAAAACGTCCAGCCACATTGAATTGGTATTACAACAAAAGCACAATTACCAATTAAAAATGCAGTATTAATTAACGTCTTTGGAAATGTCAGCTCACTGTTATTTAATTGTAAAGTAGTAAAAATTGAATTCTCTTTATTTATAGAGCAGTTTCCAAAGACAGTTTCCAAAATTCTGCGCACACAAATTAAGACAATAAAAAGCGTAAACCATAAATAAAAACTTGTTCAAAGTGTTAAAATACATAGAGCAAAAACTATAAAATGAATAAAAATCTAATTAAAGCTGCATTGTGCAACTTTTCTGAGGCCATTTTCTCTGCCCGGAATGTCCACAGTCTGGCATTAAACCTTTCTATCGTCATGGACACCGAACCAGAGCAAGTTACAGGTCAGATCTGCGGGAGGCGACCCCAATGCAGTCAGAATGTGTGTTTTTTAAGGTATTTTTGAGCTTTTAAACCACCTGTAATTGAATAAACGTAAGGTAGAGGTGTTTAAAGTCACGCTGTGGAACATTCCAGGCAGAGCAGTGACATAAAAAATGAAATAAAAGACTCACACGGTGTTAAAATCCAGAAAATAAAAGCGGATTGTAAGAGCGTACGGACTTTAAACACACTGCCTTGTTTAAATGGAGAACGGTGTTTAAATGTCTCTGGAATTTCGCTTCCTGGCGTCATTGATCACTCTTGTCAACTTCAGTCTGAACATGATTGATCTGCGAATGAAACGCCCTTTTCTTTTCGTCCCAAACTCTGCATCAAAAGGCTTATATCCGTCTATTTGTCTTGTTAAATAAACGATATAATGGTGTGTTTCAGGAAACTACTTCGCTCCACGCCGACGAGGAACGGAACGGAGGAACGTGCCGCTTCTAAAGTGAACAACTGAGTCACTGCGAACACGCCGACAATCCCCTCCCTACGTGCCACAATTGAACAAAGCCCAGAGTCACCGTGAAGGCGCCAAAGAAAGTCCCACTGACTCATCCAACTGTTGTGTTTCCTTTAAAGTCCGGTGCGGTTTATTTGTGAAAAACGTTTGTAAATAGACCATTTAATGACAGTGCGTCTTATAATCCAGAGCGTGTAATAGCCCGGAAAATACGGTGAAGTGTCTTGCCCAAGGACCTAAAAGAATTCTGATCTTGAGTTGGGATTGAATCACCATCCGTCAAATTAGTATGTGAACGTCCCACCGAGTCACTGTCGCCCTTTAGTGTCCAGTATATATTCCTGTTTTTGCTGACGGTATTGTTCCCCAAATTTAAAACAGCTGATATAAGCCAAACTTCCTGTTAGAGTTGAATGAATATTTTGCAGTGCCATTTGTTTTATACTTCCTGATGCCAAAACACTTGGAATTGAATCAAAAACTCGTGTTTAAAACGTCCAGCCACATTGAATTGGTATTACAACAAAAGCACAATTACCAATTAAAATGCAGTATTAATTAACGTCTTTGGAAATGTCAGCTCACTGTTATTTAATTGTAAAGTAGTAAAAATTTAATTCTCTTTATTTATAGAGCAGTTTCCAAAGACAGTTTCCAAAATTCTGCGCACACAAATTAAGACAATAAAAAAGCGTAAACCATAAATAAAAACTTGTTCAAAGTGTTAAAATACATAGAGCAAAACTATAAAATGAATAAAAATCTAATTAAAGCTGCATTGTGCAACTTTTCTGAGGCCATTTCTCTGCCCGGAATGTTCCACAGTCTGGCATTAAACCTTTCTATCGTCATGGACACCGAACCAGAGCAAGTTACAGGTCAGATCTGCGGAGAGGCGACCCCCATCGCAGTCAGAATGTGTGTTTTTTAAGGTATTTTTGAGCTTTTAAACCACCTGTAATTGAATAAACGTAAGGTAGAGGTGTTTAAAGTCACGCTGTGGAACATTCCAGGCAGAGCAGTGACATAAAAAATGAAATAAAAGACTCACACGGTGTTAAAATCCAGAAAATAAAAGCGGATTGTAAGAGCGTACGGACTTTAAACACACTGCCTTGTTTTAAATGGAGAACGGTGTTTAAAATGTCTCTGGAGATTTCGCTTCCCGGATGTTTTAGCTCCCAAACTTGTCATTGATCGACTCTTGTCAACTTCAGTCTGAGTCACATGATTGATCTGCGAATCGATAACGCCCCTTTTCTTTTCGTCCCAACTCTCGTCTCTCCAAAAGGCCCCTATATCCGTCTATTTGTCTTTTCCGTTTTTGCTCTGATAATCTCTCGGTCGGTACTTGTCGCTCGTAACGATTGGCGCGC